CGTGAGTGTCCCCACATCCCCCCTCTGCCCCCCTGGCTGCGTCCCCCTGTCCGTGCCCCCCACACTGACCCCCCTTCCCGCAGGATTTCTTCACCGAGGGGCTGTGGGCGCAGCTGCCCCCGGCCTGGCAGCCCGCCCTGGCCAATGCCACCCCCCAGCAGCTGGCCGGGCTCCTGGGGGGCCGTGGTGACCCCGGGGCCGCCTGGCCCCTGTCCCTGCTGGCCTTCGCCGCCGCCGCCCGGGCCCTCTCCTTCCCCCGGGGCCGCCCGGGGGGGTCCCCGCGCCCCCCCTGCCAGAGCCCCCGCCTGCACCCTCTGCTGCGCCGCCACGTCAAGCCCAAAAAGCAGCACGAGATCCAACGCCTGGGCAAGGTGGGTGCCCCCCAACTGCCTCCCCTGCAAGCCTCCAGCTCCCCTCCAGCCCCACAACAGGCCCCCTGTCCCCGCAGCTGCTGCGGCGGCTGAGCCAGAGCACCGGCTGCCAGCGCGTGGTGGACGTCGGAGCAGGGCAGGTGAGAGCAGGAGCACATGAAGGGGGGACACAGGGATGGGCTCAGACGCCACCTGAGCACGTGTCCCCCTTCCCAGGGCCACCTCTCGCGCTTCCTGTCCTTCGGCCTCGGCCTGTCGGTCACGGCGGTGGAGAGCGACGCCCGCCTGGCCGGGCTGGCCGAGCGCTTTGACCGGGAGCTGCTGCGGGAGCTGCAGAAAAAGGGGGCCTCTGGGCAGGGGGGACACCCCCAGCGCCGCCCCCTCACCCCCCGCGCCCCCCACCACGTCCCCGGGCGCCTCGACCCCGCCGCTCCCTGGGGGGAGTTCCTGCTGCCCCCCGACCCGCCGGGGCCTGGCCCCACCGCCCAGAACCCGCTGGGGGGCCCGGGGGGCTCCGAGGACGGAGGGCCGGTGCTGGTGACGGGGCTGCACGCCTGCGGCGACCTCAGCCCGGCGCTGCTGCGCCACTTCGCCCGCAGCCCCGCCGTGGCCGCCGTGGCCTCCGTGGGCTGCTGCTACATGAAAGTGTCGACCACCCCAGGGCCCCCCGGCTGCCCCGCGCCGGGGTACCCGCTGAGTGCCTCGGTGGTGGCGCTGCCGGGCCACCGGCTGTCGTACCGGGCGCGGGAGGCCGCGTGCCACGCGCGGGAGGAGTACGAGGGGCGGCTGCGCGGTGGCGACGGCGGCGCCCGCCTGCTCGCCCACGGCTACCGCGCCGCCCTCGAGGGCGTCATCCGCACCGCCGACCCCGCCAAGAGGCACCTGGGCCTGCAGCCGGGCAGGAGGGCACACGCCCTCGGCTTCGAGGAGTGAGTTTGGGGAGTGGGGAAACCCCCTTCTGGGCCCCTCTGGTTTTGGGGAGAGAGAGGATCCCTTTCTGGGACCCTCCCCTGTGAGGTTGGGGAGGGGAACGCCCTTTCTGGGACCCTTCCTGGCCCTCAGTGACTTTTGGGAGAGTAGGACCCCACTCCAGGACCTTTTCTATGAGTTTGGGGAAGGGGGACTCCCTCTCTAGGACCATCCTGGCCCCCAGTGAGTTTGGGGAGGGGGAACACCCTTTTTCTGGGACCCTCCTGGCTCTCATTGACTTTGGGGAGAGTGGGACCCCTCTCCAGGACCCTTCTCATGAGTTTGGGGAGGAAGGACCCCCTTCCGGGACCCTTGTGTGTTTGGGGAGAGGGGGAACCCATTTCTGGGACCCTCCCCGTGAGTTTGGGGACAGGTGACCCCCCTTCTGCATCGCCTCCTGACCCCTAGTGATTCTGGGGAGTGGGGACACCTTTCTGGGACTCTCCTCATCAGTCTGGGGAGGGGGGAACTCCTTTCTGGGACCCTCCTGGGCCCCAGTAAGTCTGGGGAGAGGGACCCCCCTCCTGGGACCTTCCTGGGCTCCTGTGAATTTGTGGAGGGAGACCCTCTGTTTCATCCCCTCCTGGCCCCCAGTGATTTTGGGGAGGGATGACCCCTTTCTGGGACCCTGCCAGCCCCCCATGTGACTGTGTCCCCCCCAGATATGCCCGCCTGGGGCTGCCCCTGGCGGGGCTGGACCCGGCGGGGGTCCCACTGGATTGGGGGGCCGTGGGGGCCATGCTAGAGCAGCAGCACAAGGTGGTCGCGTTCTACACCCTGGGGCAGCTCCTGGCGCCCGTCGTGGAGACCCTCGTGCTGCTCGACCGCCTGCTGTACCTGCGGGAGCAAGGTGGGCACGGGCGGGGGGCCTCCCCCTCTCCTCTCCCCACTCCTTTAGCCTTCTCTTCCCTCCCCTTCCTCTCTTCAACCCTCCCTCTCCTCTTTTTTCTCTCTTCCAGCTCTCCTCCTCTCCCCAACCCTTCCTCTCCACCCTCCTGACCCTCTTTCTCCCAATCCTCTTCTCTCCAGGCCCTCCCTCTCCTCTCTCCCATCCCTCTTCCTCCTCCCTCCTGACCCTCTCTCTCCCAACCCTCACTTTCCTCTCCTGACCTTCCCTCCCTCTCCTCACTCCAATCCTCTCTTCCAACCCTCTCTCTCCTTGCTGACCCTCCTCCTTGCTCTGATCCAATCCCAAACATCCGACCCTCCCTCTCCTCTCTCCCTCCCCTCCTTCTTCTCCCCCTGACCCTCCTCTTCTCTCCTGGCTCCTCTCTCCTCTTCTGGCCCTCCCACTCCCTCCCAACCCTCCTGATCTTCCCTCTCCTCTCTCCCAACTCTCCCTCTCCTGTCTCCCCTCTCCCAACCCTGCTTTCCTCTCTCTGGACCCTCTCCCTCTCCTTTCCCAACCCTCTCTCTCCTCACCGACCCTCTCCCAACCCTCTCTCTGACCCTCCCTCTCCTCTCCTCTGCCCCAGGTTTCCACTGTGCCCTTGTGCCCCTGTTCAACCCCCGTTTCTCTCCACGGAACTTGGTGCTCGTGGCCTCGCGGACCCCGCTGGCCGCAGCGCTGGCCGGGCTGGCCAGGGACAGCGAGGATGGAAACAGCAGCGAGGATGAGGAGCCAGGGGGCTGAGAGGCCCCCCAGCAGTGGGCACAGACCACAATAAACCCAGGATTTTTACTGCCCAGGGCTGGGTGTGAGCGAGTCGGGGCTGTGCCGCAAACGTGGAAAATCAAGGGGTGTGTTTATTGCAGAGCCCGACCAGGAGGGAAGTTTCCCCCCCCCCAGTTAATACCAGTAGGATTTCTTGGCCCGCCGTGTCTCCACAATCCCCATGGCGTCCATGATCTCCTCCTCGAAGGTCTTCAGGGACGGCTTGTACGTCTTGGCCAGCGCGTCCTCCACCGACGTGTCCTTGGGGCCGTCTGTGCGGGCGAGGGGACAGCAGAGCTGAGCCTTTCCCCCCACCCCGTGCCTTCCCCACATCCCCCCCCCAGCCCCTCTCTGCCACCCCACTCACCGATCCAGTTCTCGGGCACGATGCCATCCCGGCGCGGCTGCGGCGGCACGGGCAGGATGCGGCCGCTGCGCAGGGACACGCGGACGCGCTCGCCCTCGTCCGTGTACCGCCACTCCACCTCCGTGGGCTTCCTGCGGGCACATGGGCGGTGGGAGGGGGCAGCGTGGCACGGGGGGGGGCTCCTCAGCGGGGTCCCCACGGCTGTTACCTGTCCTCGGGGTCCACCAGGCTGATCTGGCTGAGCAGCAGCGGCGCCTCGCTGGCGATGTAGGTGCCCGAGTACTTGGCCGTGCGGTTGATGTAACGGTAGTGCTGCGAGGGGGTTTGGGGTCACCGACAGCCCGTGACCACCCCCAGCCTCCATATTCCCCCCCCAGAGACACCCCCCAGCCTCACCGTGTTCAGCCCTTCCACCACGACCCAGTTCCGGGGGCGCACGACCTGGGTGACCATTCCCTGCTTCCCCGCGTCCTTCCCGCTCAGCACCTGCACCTGTTGGGGGGGGAAAAAAAGGGGGGCACAGGTGGGACCCCCAGCCCGGCCAGCAGCCTGAAGGGGGATCATAGGGGGGGAGGGGGAGGCTCACCGTGTCACCCCAGAACACCTTCCAGTCGTCATCGGCGATGGGCTCCACGAAGATCTTGCGGCGGCGCCGCCCGGGGGGGTTGCGGAGCCGGTCGGCCGCGCTGTCGGGGGGCCACGTCCCGTGGCGGTACCCCAGGGGCAGCCGCGGCCGCGCCGCGCTCAGCAGGGCCGAGAGCCGCATGCTGCTGCGGGTCGGGGGGGGTCAGGGGGTGGCCCTGGGACCCCCAAAGGGGAGCCAGGACCCAGAAGACCCCCAAAGAGACACAGGGATCCCGCAAGGTTCCCTCTCATCCCCAAAAGGGGCCCGTAGGTGCCCTCACCCCCAGAAATGGCACCCAGGGGTCTCACAGACGCCTCCCCACCCCCAAAGCTGACCCAGGAATCCCGCAGACCCTCCACCCGCCAAAGGGTACCCAAACCCCGGCAGAGCACTCCCCCGCTTCCAAAGGGAAGCCAGGCCCCAGAAGACCCCCCTTCTTCACCCCCAAAAGGGACCCCAAGGGCTCCCGCAGAGCCCCCCAACCCCCAGCGCGTACCCGTAGAGTCGCCCACCCCCGGAAACGGCACCCAGGCGTCCGGCAGAGCCTCCCTGCCCACAGAGGGACGCAAGACCCTACAGAGTCCCCACACACACCCCAAAAGAGCCCCACAGACCCCCCCCAAAATAGTCCCGGACCCCCTCCCCGCTCACCTGCGTGTCCCGCGCGCCGGGGTGGGCGGAGCTTGGAGGGGGCGGGGCCGTGCGATGTGGGCGTGGCCTGGCCTGGCGCACACCGGGGCGCGCGGGCCCGCCAGGGGGCGCTGCGGAGCCCGCGGGAAGGCGCGCGGTGCATGCCGGGAGTTGTGGTCCTGCCGCGCTGCACGCCGGGAGCTGTAGTCCTGTCCCCTCCTTTCCCCCTACGGTGTCCCCCTCCGTGTCCCCGCTCCCTGTGACCCCCTCCCCAAATCCCGCTGCGGCTCCCGCGGGGTCCCGACCCGCCGAGCAGCGGCTGCCAGGAGTTGTAGTCCCGCCGGGGCTGGCGCCCGGCCACGGCTCCATTTTCTGCTCCGTGGGGAGCTGGGCACGGCCAAATCCTCCCTCCCGGTCTGGCCTCTCCCCACAGGGTTGTGCATGTGGAACAGGGTCATGGCCCTCTGAGCCTGCCAGAGCTCAAGGAATGTCCAGACAGCACTCCCAGGCACACGTTGGGATTTTCGGCGTCCTGTGCAGAGCCAGGAGTTGGACTTGATTATTCCAATGGGTCCCTTCCAACTCAGGATGTTCCATCCTTCCAACTCAGGATGTTCCATTATTCCATTATTTTAGAGGTTAAGGAGTGCTTGGATGTTGGGATTTTGGAATTGGGGATATTTTGATGTGTCCTTCGCAGGGACAGGGGCTGGACTGGATGATCCCAGTGGGTCCCTTCCATCTCAGCATATTCCGGGATTCCATTATCCTAGAGGTCAAGGAGTGCTTAGACAATGGGATTTTGGGACTGGGGAGATTTTGGGGTGTCCTCTGCAGGACCAGGAGTTCGATGATCCTGATGGGTCACCTTCCAACTCAGGATATTCCATGATTCCATAGTTTCTATTTAATTAAACATCTCCCCTCTTGAAACCTCCCCCTGGCTCTTTCCCTTTCCCGCTCCCAAGCCCCAACCCTGCTCTCTCTCCCAGGAGCAGCCCCAGATCCCCGCACTCCAGCCCCACACCCTGGAGCTGCCAGAGCCCCTCTGGGCAGCCCCCAAAAACCACCCAAGGGGTTGGGCAAGCACTTTAAAAAGGCAAGAATCGCTTTTATTTCAAATCAACTGCTCAGCCCCGAGGAATCACTAATACAAAGCGTTGCACTCACGGCAGGGCGGGCGCTCGGGGTCGGTACCGGGCTGCTCTGCATTCCTCTCTCTCTCTCTCTCTCTCATATTTTTTTTTCATGTGTTTTCTTTTGTTTTTTTAATTTTTTTTTCCTTTTGAAATTTCATTTTCGGGGTCAGTTTCTGCCGTCCAGGAGCTCCAGACGCGACGAGCCCGGCGAGGGCGACGCGGCGGGGGCAGCACCCGGGGAGCCAGCGGGGTAGGATCAGCTCTCTGGGGACGCTGCTACAGGCTGTGGGGGCCAAGAACAGAACACTGTCACACCCCACAGTGCCAGGGATGGCCCCCCCAGGCGCAGGGCAGGTAGGAGGAGAGCAGCTGCAGGGCACAGGGATCACCACACCACCCTCACCTCTCCTTGTGGTCTCTGACCTCCTCCTTGCCCTCCTGCTTGGCTTCGTTGGCGTCAGGCGCGTCGGCGGCGTCGCTGTTCTTCTCCCCTTCGCCCGGGTTGGCTTTGGGCTCCTCCTTGGGGGCCTCTTCGTTGTCCACCTTCTTCTCCCCTTCCTGCCCCTCCGCATCCTTGGGGCGTTTGGGGGAGTCCTGGGAGGGCGAGAGAGCTCGGCTCAGCCCGGCCCCCCTCGCCCAGGTCCCCGTTGTCCCCAGTGTGTCCCCCCCCTCCCCCCCAATCCCGCTACCTCCAAAGCATCTTCCGCTTTCCTCTTGATCCCGCCTTTCTCGTTCTTGTCCTTGGACTGCTCGTCGATCACCAGCTTCCCCTCCTCGTCGCTGCTGCCCTCGGCATTGCCCTTCTTCTCCCCGTCCCCATCTGGCTCCCGCTCGGCCGCCTCGGGGCAGCTCTTCTTCTGGGTGGGCTGGGGGGGGACACAGGGGGCTCACAGAGGGGGCACAAGAAAGGGGTGTGGGGGGGAAAAAGGAGGTGCTGGGACCCTCCAGCTCGTGACCCACCTGGTAGCCGGAGGCTTTGACCGTGGGGTTGTTCTCGATCTCCCACAAACCTTCGCTGAACCCTTTCCGCTTGTTGGGTTTCCCAAACTTCTCCTTGCACTCCTCGTAGGGGAAAAGGTCTTTGGGCCCCAGGAATGCCCTGTGCCAGGGGGTAAAGGCCGTGAGGAGGAGGGGAGGGGGGGTTTCTCCCAAACCCCCGGGGCCACCCACCCCATCAGCACCCCCTGGGCCCCGGCTCCCACTCACGTTTCGTGGGTCCCGAAGAAGAAGACTTGGTACTTATTGGAGGAGGATTTCACTGCAGCTTCTGGCATCTCATCAATCTGTGACAAAGAGGATGGGGTGAGAATGGAGGGCAGAGCCCCCCCAAGGCTCCCCAGACACCAGGACATTCCCCCACCCTGGTGTCCCACCGACAGGCACAGCCTGGGGAGGGAGGAGGATGCAATTCCTTGGGAATTCACCCACGAGCCGGTGACAGTGGCCAACAGAACAAGTGGCTGTGCCCACTGGAGCGGGGTCACAGGGGTCCCCTTCTCCCACCCTGCCCCCTCCCCCGTAAGCCCTTGTCTAGACCAGCTCAGACACACTCAGCAAATTCAGGCGCTGCCGGCAGTGCCAGCGGAGCCGGAGGCGTCACCTCCAGCCTGGGGCACAGGGCTCGGGGTGCCCCAGGGGACTCCGTCCTGCTACTGGGACCCCCCCAGCCAAAACGGGGTCACCAGACAAGGGGACAGCCCGGCAAGGGCTGTGGGGTCAGTGAGCAGCCGGTGCCAACCCCATGGGCAGGTGCTGCTCCACCGAGCGTGAATAATCCCGAGGCGCCAAGCGGGAAGGGAGCGAAAGCAACTCCGGCTGCTTTTTATAGCGTCTAAAAATAACCCCCCCTGCAGCCAGCAGCCATAAATTCCCCGAGAAAGCCTCAAAGGGAGGTGGAAGGAGCCGAAGGAGGATGCGGGTGGGGGTCTCAGGGTACGTCACCGGGCCAGAAGGTGCCAGTGCCGGCGCCCAGGGGTGCTGGGTCCCATTCCCAGAGCTCTGCTGACTCATGGCACAACCTTTCCCAAGGCACATCGACCCACCCGGCTCGCTGTGCCTCAGTTTCCCCAGCCAGCAGGGCCAGGGTGCCGGCGACAGCACTCCTGTCACTGGGGGCTTTTTCCCCTCTTTCCTCCCAGCGTGTCACCAACCCGTCCCAAACGCAATGGAGGGCCGAGGTTTTCTCCTGGTTTTGTTCCCAGACCCGGGAACGGAACCAACACGTGCCCCTTTGCCAAGGGGCAATGCTGGCACAGCCCCAGGGGCAGCCGGGCAGGATGAGACACTGGCAAAGGGCTCCGTGTGGGCACCGGGCCGTGGTGGACGGTTGGAGTGACATCCCATTCCAGGGTGGGCTGCGCCTCTATGCCATCCCCACTGCCCAAACAGGCACCCAGGCCATTCTGCACCCATCCTCCTGGATCCAGGGCGTGTTTTGGGATGGGTGATGTGCCTCCACCCAGCGCCCCGGGGCTACCCCCACCGTCCTGCCCCAATGTCCCAATGCCCCCTGCTCCCCACAGGCACATTCCAGGAGCAGGGACGGTCCCTGGAGGTGCAAACATCAGTCTGGCCCTGGCCCCAACCCCTGGCCCACGGTGGCAGCCGGGAGCATCAGCTCTGTCCCCGCGTGGCACCGACAGCGCTGTCGGCAGAGGAGGAGGAGGAGATGTGACTCAGAGGGGAGGCTGCCAGCCCAGCCCAGCCCAGCCCCACCGGGAGATGCTGCTGCCCAGAGGCCTCCTTCCTGCTGGTCACCCCTGGGACAATGTGCCAAAGGCCCTGCCAGCCCCAAAGCTGAGGACACGGGCTCAAAGCCGGGACCCTGCTGGAGACCCTTTCCCCAGCGAGTTTCCAAACCTTCCTCCCCAAGGAGAGGTGGCACACAGCGGGGACAGGGCCGGCTGGCACATGGCACTGCGTCCCTGAGCCCACTGCCGCCCATCCCCAGGCCAGGATCTGTCCTTGGCTAAGAGCCCAGGGCAGGGGAACGCCGGGATCACCCCTGGCTGCTGGGATCCCCCACACAGGCTGTGCCCACCAACATCAGCCTCTTATCGGCCCCTCCTGCACCCCAAGGGGACAGGGTGGCTCTATCTGTGAGAGCAGGTGGGGACTGGGGCGCAGGGACACGGTGGGGACCCCGATAGCACAGGCGGGCACGAACCCGCCCAAAAACCCCGCGAGGACTCACGGCGCCCAAAGCACATCGCCAGGAGGGGCCTCAGCTGTTTGGAAACCCCTCACCCCTCTGGAGCCCCCCCCCAGGCTGCCCAAACTGCCACGTGATGGGGGCCCAGGGCTCGAGGCAGCACGGATGCCTGTTTGTCACTCGCTGGACGGTGGCAGTGGGGGGTGACAGGGCTGGGGTAAAGTCCACGGTGCCTCCCCCCTGCCAGCTCCTGCGAACGGCACCGGTGTCACAACCAGGCCTGGTGCGAGGTTCTGTGTCCCAGGGGCTGGTGGGGGGGCAGCAAAAAACAAGAGGCTGGGACAGGTCCCCTGGGAAGGGAAGCTCTGGAGCGTGGCAGGGGAGGGACAGGCACGTCTGGACTCTGCCCCCAACCTCTGCACTTCACCTTTGCAACTGGTCCATGGAGCACGGCTGGATGCAGCCACCCCGCACTGGGAACAGGCCCCTCCCTGCCTCAGTTTCCCTGCAGGAGGGCAAGGCTGGAGTGAGGAGCTGGCTGTCAGGAAGGGGAATTAATGGAATTAACTCATGTGGGTCACACATGGCTGATGAAGCACGCGGTGAGGGGGGGGGAGCACGCACCAGGCTGGGGGGCTGTGGCATCCCCAAGTGCCACGGCTGCACCCACAACACCCTTCCCAGGGCTCTCCTCAGCCCTGGGGCCATCACTGGGCACTGGGCAGCAAACTACCCGGACTCTGCTCCCAAGGGTCCTGCTGGTAGGATCCTGACCCCACCACACACCCAGCCATGGGAGCAGGAGGCGCTTGGGGAGGGCGATGCCAGCAGTGCTGGGACCCCCCGGCATGGTGCCAACCCCTGGGCTGGTGCTCTGCCCCTTGCTGTGCTCCCACGCTGTCCCAAAGGGCTGGGTGGAGGAAGGGCTGCAGATCCAGCCACTGGGAAGCATCAAAGGGCAGGTGGAAGCGAGGGTCCTGCACCAAGGAACCTGTGGAGATGGCATGAGGGGAAGAGGGAGGCAGGGACCTTCATCCAGGCGCCGGTGACTCATCTCCCTGCTCTTGTGCCTCAGTTTCCCCTCTGTTTAACGCTGCCCCTCTCAGGGAGAGGTTTCCACTGGAGGCAGGGGCTGAGCTGCTGGTGTTGGGAGACCCTCCCCAGGGAATGGGCCGGGGGGAATAATCCCCCTCCCCTGGCAGTGCCACCGGCTCCCCCCACCCCCTCCATTTCTTCCCCGGCCCTATCTCTCTGCTCCAGCCACACCTGGGAAACAAATATCCCAGCCAACGCCACGCGTGGCCGGGTAACGTTTCATCACAGCACCTGATTAGTCACGGGCAAACCCTGCCTGCTTCACCCGGGGCCGATTAGTCACTGAGGGGAGGGCTGTGCACCCCAAATCCCCCACCCCCCCTCCCTCCCGGTTCAACCAGCACCCTCCTCGGGCTCAGCGAGGGCTGCCCAGGAGGGGGAAAACCTGTTCCTTGCCCGCCTGAGCAGCCCCTGCCACGATGGTGGGCAGGGAAACCACGCTCCGGGAGCAGAGTGGGGCGTGAAACCCGAGCGGCCCCGGGCACATCGCAGGCGCTAATTCGGTCCCCGGGAGCTCAGCCCCAACCTGGCGTCACCCCCGGCGGGGGCACCCGTCTGAGGGGCTTTTTGGGGACGGGGATGGGATGGGTGGAGGAGGGTGATGAGGCAGCGGGGCTGTGCTGGAGGCCCAGGGGAGCATCGCTCTACCCCCGGGGAGAGGAGCTGTGGTGGAAAGGCAGGCGGTGGTGGAAAAGCAGGCGGTGGTGGAAGCAGGCAGCGGTGGAAAAGCAGGCGGCGGTGGAAGCAGGCGCCGGGCTCCCAGGGATCCCTCTGGCTCCTCCTCGCAAAGCCGCTTTCAAATGCGCGTTGGGAGGCCAATGCCAAATCCGAGCGGCTCCCAACCCCCTCCCGGCCTCCCCGCCAGAACCCGACAAACCAAACAAAAGTTATTCAAACCCGGCAGGGGAAGGAGGAGGGGATGGGGGGGACAAGGGGGGGATCCTCGGCCTTTTAAAGCCCACCGCGCCATTCCTCCCCTTTTCCGCTCAATTTGGGGTTTCCAGGCGGCCCCAGCGCCCTTTGCAGCAAAGGCCGGGAGGGGAGGCGAGGCGAGGGGGTGGGGGGGGAAACACTCCAAGGAAATTTTAAACTGCATCATCAACCGCTTAAAAATAAACCAGCGCCGTGTTGTGTAGCCAGAGCTCCCCACGGCCCCCGGCCGAGGGACTCAGCCCCCCGATGGCCCAGGGCGAGGGGCTTCATTCCGTCCCGGGGGGGGGCTGTGCTGGGCTCATGGCACTGACATCCCCCCCATCCCCACGAGAGGCTCAGGGACCCCCACGGCCGTGGCTCCAGTGGGAGCCGGGGGGACCAGTGGTGGGGACAGCGGTGGGGACAGTGGCGGGGCCGGCACGCGGCGGGGCCGGCACATGGTGGGTCCTCGACGCCCCCATCCCCCCCTTCCCCGTCCTAAGTCCTCAGTAATTATATCGATTTTCCAAAGCCAAACTCCCGGCGAGCGCTGGCACCTTCTCTGGCACCCGTGGCGAGAGGTAAGGCCACGCAGAGCCGGAGGCAACACGGTCGGGGACCTGCCGGCCAGGCCAAGCCTGGGAGGGAGGGGGTGTTCGGCTGAACCCCCCACCCCCCGCCCCCAACCCCGGTCTGCCCCAAATCAGCGGCGAAGCAGAATGGGAGTGACCTGTCCCCTCCCCGGGGTCTCGCAACGGAGCGGGAAAGGGGTCGTGGTGCGGCCCCCACGTGGAAAAGGGACCTCCCGGTACCGGGGGTCACCCCGAGGGGATCTCCCCGGGCCGGCCCAGCCTCGTGTCCCGGTGCACGATTCCGCCCCGGTCACCGACCGGCCCGGGGGTGGGGGTGGGGGTAGGGGGTGTCCCCGCTCCCACGCGGTGGCAGAAGCCACGCGGTCCCCACCCGTGACCCCCCCACCCCCTCCCCCGGGAGGGAAATGAATAAACAGCACAAAAGGGACCCGGGGGAGCCCGGGACGTTGTTTCCAACGCATTAAATCCCTCCAAACCCAACGAAATGACCCGAAAGCGCCTCCCCAAAGCC